ACGGAACCTGTGTGGATCCAGCCGGAAAAGTGGAAACCACCAATAAGTAATCTTATGTGTCGCTACACCTTCAGCCGATGATGGATCTTCGTTCACGTTTAAAGTATCCACAATTTTGCCTTATAATAGCCTAATGAAATAAGCCACAAATGGCCCTCGCTGTTATTTTCAAAGATTAGGATTGGAGATAGAAACTGGGCAACATCCTCAACCGTGCCTACTGTTACTGATTGTCAGAGCCGTAATGACGGCAGGAACAGAAATATCTAACAGACAAGAGCCTACGATAGGTGCTTTCGCGCGCGTTTTTCTCGGCTTCGCTGGACTGCAGGGCCAAACGGACTAAGACGGTGATTCCTAACTGCTCCTACAGATCAGACGTTTTCGGATTGACCTTGGGTGTAAAATTCTAAGGGCAAGACGAAAAGTAAGATATACAGTTTGATTTTACCGAATTGTGAAAAAATCAGTGCCTTTGACTGGAGTTGAACCATGCCAGCAGGGGGAGGATTTAGTACAGCCAACACTTTAGCCAATTGAGCTACGAGGCCGCCACTGCGAACTGTGATGATGAATCCGCGACGGATGTCGAAATGTCAGGCGAATAAACATATTGTCCCAGCGATCGAGTCATCCTCTTCTCAGTTTAATCACACTTGGATCAATTTACCCGCCCAGCCTATTACAACGTATGGAATCCACCAATTCTGACAAAGATGGCAAAAGCAGCAAGATTTATTGGATCCATGACATTTCGAGAGAGCTCTACAGTTGCTGCTTCTCATTGCATAGCGTGAATCACGTAAGAGAAAACACAAATTGAATTCATACAGAAAAATCGATACAAACAATAAGGCCATAAGAAATGGCCAAGAGGCTAATCAATAAGTAAGAAAGTTCAAACGCTATGGGCAGCAAAAACGGGGGAAAGACGTCTAAGGTAAGAAGTTGGGAGGGGAAATGTGTAAACAGGGAGCCAATGTTACCACGGCAAAGTTAGTTTCGCTACATGCTCCAGCTGTTTATATAGGTTGGGTTTGAACCGCCGTATGTAGGCTGCCTCCAGGTAGGGTAAGGTACGAATTGTTCGTGCCCGAACAAGTACTCGAAAAGAATTTTTTGCGTCAACAGAATGGCCAGTGTCTAGCAGATGTTCAGTAATCGATGAACGTGGAATTCTTTTTCCTGCTTCAATAACCAGCTAGATAAATGTTTCTTAGCTCTTGAGCCTAAAGACAAAGCAGACGGAATTGGAAATTCAAGTCTTTCTCAAGACAGACAAGGTCGCGTCTGTCATGCTTCAAGCAAAATTTATTTTCACGATTGAAGGAAAACATATGAACCCCAGGTTCTGGTTGCAAATAAAATTTAAGCAAGATTTCTAATTTATTAGTCTGCGTGAGAACGCAGATACCGGCGCCGACCGCCAACAAGAGAGAGTGGGAACTGTTGGAGGTGTGGGCCTCTAACACCGACTCAATCAACAGACACATCTTTCTTGTCCTGTCTAATCACACGCGCCGCCCATGCAGCCAGGTGATGCCTCCCCATTACCGGCCAAGGACGCACGCCGTGAGATAACTGTGAGCTAGGCTGCGCGAACTCGACCCAGTCACGGGTGCCACCCGCCTGTCAACTCCTCTCTTATGGTTCGACGTACGAGTTCGAAAGCTCAGATTAATAAACCTACTGCTTCAGTGAGCACAATCCCATCTTCCTTTTACTAATTAATTTGAAACTCGTTGATGAGTACTCCTTAACCGCTAACGGAACTCATTTGTCTCGCTCTGCCTTGGGTCTCATTTCTTGGGCCCTGACTACTTAGCGTTAGGGCTGCTGTCAGAGCCAGCAAAATGATTCTCAAGGCAGAGCGGGACAAGTGAGTTCCGTTAGCGGTCAGCGAACATTCATCAACGAGTGTCAGTACGTCCCGACCTAAACCGGCAAGACAACAGGCTCGTGGCTCACTGTTTTAGCGTCAGGCTCTGATCGAAAAGGTCGCGAGTTCGAGCCTCGAGTGATGCACCATTCGGGGTTGGGTTTGACTGGTTGATGACGGCTAATAAGCCAGAAATGGCCATTTCAGTCCCCCCTGTCTTTGCCGGCAATACTTACTGACTAATTAATTTGTTTGGACCGGAAGCTGTGCATAGAAGGGCGAGGATCCGTATTCCGAATATGTTTAGAGGGGTTATTTCCTTAGGCCGAAGTTCACTTCTCGCCGGCAGACACACCCGAGGGGAGCAAAATAAGCACTGTAAAATCAGCTTTCTATCC